TTAGCGAGTATACCCTTTTGCTAGCATATGACTATGACATATGGTAAAAGGGTATAGCCAAAGATAATACACCCCATAGATTGGAAACTCTTCCATCACTGCCCTCTAGAGCTAAAATCCCTGAACTATATCTATTTGTAAATTGCAGACATTTGTACAAACGCTATTTGCAAATGTCAATGTCAAGCATAATTATTGATGTCGATCATAATTTTTGAATTATTAAATACATTTTTGGGCCTTAAGTGATAAAATGCGGAAATGTAACCAATTTGTAAGTATTGACTATTCTGCCGTCCTAAGCCAAAAAGACATCTCGAATTATTCTCTTAGAAAAAAAGGCGCATTTTAACTATACATACATTTTTAAATACTATAGCTCCTAAAAATTTCCAATTAAATTAAACGTATCTTAGAGAAAAACAATAAAGCGCTATAATTTATAAAGTAAAAATGTGGAATTGCGTCTTTTTGGCTAAGCACGGCAGTACCGCTCTAGAGTAAAAATACTGTTTGTTAATTATGAAGTATTTAGGATTGCTTGTTTAATGGTAATTTAGTCCAGGTCAAGTCCAGGCTACTTATGGTTGTTTCAAAACCAATAGTTGGCAAAATGAATTTTTCACGGTTGGTTAGAACTTGCCAAAAGTCCACACTCAAAAGCCTTGTACAAATTCCTATATGTATAAGTAGCCTGGACTAAATTACCAAATTTTGCAATTTACTCTTATTATTGAAGAATTAAGACTAATATTTTGCACTCCACAAACAAAATAATATGTACATATAGATGTATGTATTTTATTTTATATTATATTATTAATACAATAAATAAAATCTTATATTCATACTTGTTTTATTCAAAATACAGCAGTAAATACAATATATAAAGGCACCCTACGAAGCATCAACATTCAAATATGGCGCCAATATATGTTACAGAAATCTACTTCAATTTTTGGCATTGACCTACATGGCGTTAATTTACTTTAGCCTTTTGCCGCTAGCGCTAGTGCAGTTTCCAATCTATGGGGTGTATTATCTTTGGGTATACCCGCTAACCATAAATGTGTGTATTCTACGTACAGAGGTCCTGTTTGATTGTGCTGCATCACTTGTCATAAATGGGTTTGTGGTGTTTGCAATAAAGCGTCTAAAAATCCAAATTATGAATGTGAATCCTGTGAGGATGATGACTAGGACAGGGTAAACAATTAGGTTAGACTGTATGACCTAAAGAACTTATTTTTGTGTTGTAAAATTTGCCAAAGAATTTATTTTTACCTTTCTAAGAATCTACTTTTATATTGTTATTATTATGTGCCAAAGAATGAGAAAGTTTTGTTGATGATTTTGTATTATTGAAAAATAAACGTTTCATTTTGGTATCCATTCATTTATTTCAAGTTTTCCAAGTCCTAAATTCAACTAAATAGGTACTTAGATATTTTTAGAATCAATTACACTGGTTTTATCGTATAGAGTTAGTGCAGTTAGTATAGTATTTACACTGTTGATTATTCAGATATAATTTTTTTCCACAATAAAAATTAATTTATTTAAAATTAGGATAATAAATAAGCTAATAAAACGAAACTAGTCTTATAATTAAGACAAGCCGTATAATTAATTGACGTGGTGTGTAGATACATTTGTCTTGTTATATGTTAGAATTAATAAGGATTAAGATTTAGCAACTATCTGACAGATAGTATCAGTGGATCATTTAACTTTGTTAATGAGTTTCTAAAACCAAGCCGAAGGGTTCATAAAAGGTTTATCTTTCAAAGCAATATAAATGATCAAAAATTTGTATTGTTTTTTTAAAGCAATGCACTTTATGACACTAATCAAATACTTCACAAAATAACTATCGTTTTGGATAATTTTAGCTATTTTATAAAAATATCACCGTTTCAAATTTTTTAAAAAGGATTCTTTTTATGTTTATTTTTACAAAAAATCAAGAAATAAACGCAGACTGTTATTATTATTGGCACATAAACTAGATGTGGTGAAACTCAGACTGCTGTTTTGGTAGGGTTTAATAAGCATCAAGTAAATTTACACCTGTAGGTGTTTACTGCTTTATAAAGCCAGAATAAAGCGTTTATCAACGATTATTTATCCAAAGCTATATTATTACCAGTAATTTGTAATATTTAGTATTGATTTTTAGAAAATATTAAGAAAATGTTTACATATTAATACCTGTTAGGTATATTTTATTAAAACTTTTAATAAAAAAACTTTTTTTGTATATTTATGTATGGGTATATTTTTTATTTAAAGTGTATTAAAATGGTTTTCAAATAATTAAAAAATAAAACTAAAAACCTATTAAAACCTAAAGTTGTTATGACTTCATTTTTCCTGTAAATTTTGACAAAATGTAAGTTTTACATGTAATAATATATATTTATCCACATTTTCGTTCAATTTGTGATTTTTTTTGACTACTAGATTTTGAGATACCACCATATTTTTTTTCATATGGCTGCCATATTGGAATTTTACATGGTTATATGGCGGCCATTACAAAAACAAAAGGTGGTGATGGTAACTCAAAGCCTAATATCGAAAAAATTTGATAAAAATGTAGATTAAAATAACCAGGATTAACAAAGTTATAATAATTTTTGGTTTTTAAAGGTTTTTAGTTTTTCTTAAATATTTTGAGAACAGCTGGCTTTTTTTCAATTCATAATTTCAGATTAATAGGCTTGTAATTACGCAAAATTTCTCGAATTAAACAGACCTTGTAGCTTTTTAAATAAAAATATTTATGTAATAAACTATACCATTTATTTAATAAACAATACCATTTATGTATTAACTATTTTATTTATTTTTTAAATTATTTGGAGTAAAGTTGTTTGATATATTAAAATAATAGTTATACAAATAATAATGTAAATAATAGATGTAGCTATGTTAAGTTTTTTGTTCTATAATTATTGAAATTGATTTATTTACATTTACAGTTATTAAAAAATATTTATGCATTATAAGATTTAAACATTAAAAATATTTTAATAAAAAAGTTCAGTTCGGAAGCGACCTAGCTTCAAAAATTTACAATACAATTATTTGATTCAATATATTGATAAAAATCCAATATATTGGAAATAAAATCAATATTTTAGTATATTACAAAAGATACAGGTTTTTTTTAACTTGTCCACGCAATTTAAATATATTTTTTCAAAAGCACGTTTGTAGAAAAACATAATAAATATTCAAAACATCAGTACCTTGCCACAACTCCTGAATCAAATATTTGAGTGATTTTATTTTAAAATATATTCAATTTATCCTAAATTTTTCAACTTCACTACAAACTATAAAACATTAAATAATGTATTTTTCATATTTTATCATAGATTCGTATAATAGCAATTTTTAAAAAATTGATAATCTTTATACTAACTTTTACCCGTCAGTTCTGTGTCCAATGTTAAAATTCAAAATTCCTGAAAAATATTGAAGTTTAAACGTCAAGTCCTCGTTTTAACTCAAGTGTTGGTAAAAAATTACCTACAGAGCCCGCCCTTTGCACGACAGTCATCTTGAAAACAATGCAAGCGGCGAAGTTGTGGTGAATGCACGTATAGTTCCAGTCAAAATTTCAGTACAATGGTGAGTAGTTATTTTCTTACGTTTATATATTTCATTTTAATTTATATAAGGCTATATGTGATTTGTTGATAAGAAGCATCCACTAATAAAAAATATCAGCAAAATACTTAATTCCGAATTATAATCTAAAATTTGTATCCCATTCATCAGTACCGTATCCCATTCATCAGTACCGTATCGTCAGTTCCATGTTCGATGTTTCGGTTATCTTTTTTTCGCAAACTTCAATTTAAATTCTGCTTGCGCAGAACTTGTTTATTTAATATCATTATAAACTCATATAAATTTAGTGTGGGTCCCATATCTAATAATTGTGATATCGGTATACCCAAAATCCACCAGCCGCCACTGATGTGTGGTATTATTTGATTTTAAGATATTTAATGTAATGTAATATGCTCAAAGTTGCAATAAATCTTATATTTTCCAATAAATTATGTATTTAATTAGTACCTTGGTATACTCGCCACTTCCCTTGCATTCAAATTTAGAAAACACAGATATTTCAGAAACTGTTTGAAAAAGTGACTGGCCCGGTCTGGAACAGTATATTTATTATATTAAGTATATATGTTCTAATAACAAAATACTGTTTAATTTTTCCGAAAACTTTATAAACAAAATGAGGTCAAAAGTTGCATAACTTTTGTAGAATCACCCATATTGGAAATAAATCCAATATATTGATATCATGATGCATTTTTTTTAATATTGAATTTATTTTAAATATAATGTATTTTTTTCAATATATTAAAAATATAAGTTTATTATAATTTTTGTGATTTCAGTACGCTTTTGTTATTTAGGGTATTATATGTAAATGTGGATAATTTAATGAAAAGTATAATACAAACCAAAATTAAAATCATACTACAAAATTTCAAAACAGATTGAATATTGTAATTATAACTGGAAAATTATTTTCTCGATTTAATTTTATTAATTTTTTGATTTAAATGTAAAAATGTTGGAAATTATTTATATACATAAACAACAAACATAAAAAGTTTAAAACAAATTTTTGAATAATAAATTAGTATATTGTTTAACGATTGAGAATTGTATAATAATTATTAATATTATTATTAATAATTATTAAATAATTTGTACATTTCTTATACGTTATCAATTGGAGAAAATTTATCTTTTTCTCCATGGTTACTTTCCAATGATTATACTTTTCTCCATGGTAGTATTTAGGCGAAGATTTATAATTTTCTTAAAAATTAAGTGACAGTTGTCAGATTGTATGATGTATACGAAGGATGACTATAATGATTTTGAAATAAGCTAGTTTGGGACAATTAATACATTTTGTTATTTTTAAGAATCTTGGATTAAATATTAAAGCTTTAACTCACCTGTTGGACTTGGAGTTAACTCTTTCATGACGGTGTATACATTAATGTCGGAATATTTAATCTGTCTAAGTTTTCTATACACAGCCTTCTTAGCATTACCAATCGCCTTCGAATATTCCCGAACCTCAAATGATTTATATGGAACCACCAGCCCAACATTAAGGAACTTTGAACCTAAAAATAAAAAATATCCTTAAAAAATGTGCACGTTTCATTTAATGAAAACAAGCATCCGAGATAATTATTGACATACAATACCTTTGTAGGGTTTTCTTTAAAATGTTGGTTTGTTTGTTTATAAATAACAGCCTTTATGTAAAAGATATAAAGAATTTTATTTTAATGGTATAAATTTCTCCTATAAAGTTTTAAATTTATAATTATACCAAGTCTAAATTTACTTACAAAATCCTTGTAGATAAAATATATACCATACAACTCATAATAGGATAACATGACAACATAAAACAATATAAATAGACTAGAAAAAAGGTTTCTTGAAATTATAATAAGGTAGGTATATGAGAACTTAAAAGCTGAATTGGATATATGCGTTTAAATTGTTTATTGCACCCATATATCGAAAATGTTTCCTCGCACCGACATTTAAGTGACAATTTAAACACCCTCTACAATTTGAATAATTTTATTAGAAAATTTAAATTTTTTGTGGCAAAAAAATTACTTGTTTAGGGAAGTTTTGAAAAAAAAATATCAAAAAATTAAAAAGTATGTACACCAGTGGCGGCTCGACGTATAAAGCAACTGAGGCCGGGCCTTACATGTTAAAATTATAATATAATTTAAAATGTTAGATACATTACTTATTTAAATATAAAACGTTTTTAAACTAATTTCCAGTCATTAAAAGTATCAAAACATCGAATAACAAAGTTTAAAATATTTCCTTAAAATTTAGAGCGCACCCCTTTCAACTTTAATTCTAAACGCTTAAATCATTGCTTGACCGCATAATAGGGAAATAGTAAGCCCCGAAATTTGCGCTTCATATACGTCACACATTGCCGATATAACATCATGCTCCCCACCGCTGTATGGTGCCACCGGGGATAATACGCGAATTTTTGTAGACATTGAGGCCCACAAAGTTGGGCTTGTACCACAGTATATGGAAGACAGCAGAGTCAGTTCCGAGATCTGTGCGGCTCGCTTATCAGCCGTTGTAAAAGACCACTTTTTCAAAATGACATTTTGGTAAAAATTTGCGAAAACTAAACCTGAACTGATATTTACTTTCGTGACATGTTTTCTTTATAATTTTGACCTCCTGATTGTGATTCAGTTATCAAATTTAAGTTTCAGATAAAACCAAAATCACCAAGAATCAAAATTCGAAAACAATTCCCGGCTGTTAAATGTCTTAATAAAATCTGAAAAAAAATCATATCGTCGTTGCTAAAATTCCAATTCGAAAAACTTGAAAACTCTTTCAAGGTAACACATAATACTTCATTATTTCAAAATAAAAAAGAGAAAAAAATAAATTTTTTTACAAACGGGGCTTGGATGAAGTTATTGAAATTTTTCACCGTTTAACATATCACCCTGTAGGAAATTTACTTAACAAACCGTGAGCTTCATATATATATAGCATGCATTGCCAGAGGATGAGGCTAGCAGACATCACAGACCAAAATAAAATTGTTCAAGAAACAAAAAAGTTATGTCGTTTTGAAAAAGAACGAACTTTTTGGTCGTGACACATTGACTGGTGCGCAGTTTAGTTCAGTGTTAAATCGTTGAGTTTCATATACCTACTGTGCTTGTACATTATTATTTTGTTGTTGCGCGGTTGTGCCTTTATTTATCTAAAAATAATTATTGTAAGATAAGTAAAAATGAGCAGTACCTCCTGGGTAATACGGAAACCTGCTGAAGGAATAAATAAAAATCCTACCTCGTCCCGCACTTTTTGTATTATTCTAGCTAAATTTTAAAAATTCTTATCGTGAAAGAACATATTTTTAAATAATATATTTTTATTATTTAGATTCTGAAGTGCTCCAAAAACGCGAGACCTTGAAAATTGCCTGCGGCGCCATATAGCGGTTCATGGGCCTCACCTTAATGAATGGTCACGAGCCGCCACTGATGTACACAAGTATGTGTGTACATACTTGTGTATATAATTTTTTAGTTTTTTAATATTTTTTTTTAATATTTTAAGATACCTTTAGTAAGTCATCTTTTACCACTTAGCGGTGTTGCCGAATTTATATACAAATATGTATATAAATTCGGCAACACCGCTAACTGGTTCTAAAGGTAACCTAAATAAATTGAAAGATTCTGGAAAGTTTCGTAAATTTGGCAAAACCTTTAAATAGTGCAAGGGGACTTACTGAAGGTATTCTAAAGATTTTGAAAAAGTTTTTTTTATTTAACACCGCAAAAGATCCCATATTCTGAGAATTTTTGGAAATTTGGCAACGTCGCAAATAATTCCTATGGTTTGTAAATTAATAAAAAAAAATAAGAAAAAAAAGTAGTAAAAGTAAAAACTTAAAAAGTAACATATGTTACGCTCCTGCCCATATACTATCTCTATGCAAAAAAATCTCGTCGATCCGTTGCTACGTTGCTGTCTGAAAGGCAAACAAAAAAAGACACTTTCGAAAATATATACGAGTATGTCAGGAGGGATTGCTTGTGTTATAAAAATAAAAAAATAATAAACAACAAATTTTAATGGCGGAGAAATTAAAATTATTATTAAAAATGGATTTTTTAATTGTGCCTTTTTAAGATAAAAGGTAAAAATACATGTCGGCGCCCTTATTAATTAGTGCACATTTGTTTAATTTTGTTGATAAGATTTGTGTAACGATGTTTAGGCTAAACAAAAAGTCCCATGCATGTGGAGAATGTCATTTTCCTCGTATTAGGTGTTTATGATTAAGTCTAACACTAATACGATACATTTATTTTTGTTGATATAAATTATATGAAGTTGTCTAGACAAAATAGTTAAAGTTAAAGAACGTAGAAAATATGTTAGGAGGGGTAAAAGATCTTTATGGGAACAGCCAAGATAAGCTTGGTGAACGGAACGCACCCCGCAGATAGATTTTGAGTTGTCGTGCGACAAGTTAAATCTCTGAATTAATTTTTGATTGACTATAATAGTTATAATAATTGTTGATCTAGCGGGTCGCGGATCGTTGGTTTTTTTTAATAGCTAATAATTAGTTTGGGACGATTATTATTAATTTTGTGTTCTTTGCGTATTTATCTGAGTCCGTGTTTTATTAAATATCTTTATATTAAAAAAAAACAGTGTCGTGCATTCTTTTAAAATGTCTAAAAAATCCTACTAATGTCACTATTCTTATTAATATTTTACTTAAAAAGAATTTATTATATATATATATATATATATATATATATATATATATATATATATATATATATATAATATATGTTTTGCTTTAGGTTTGCTTTAGGTTTCCACAGGCGTTATATTTTTCGGAATCTGCTCGGTTTTTGGTTCTTAAAAGAACCGTATGTCTGACGAAATTTTGGTACAATCTCATGTACCATCTTCAGGTCTTATCTGCTGGGCTGCTGTTGCTGCTCTGCTGCGAGTTAGACGTGGATTGAGCTTCTTGCCTATTCTTTCGGTTGTCCCTTTGACGTAGGGAAGAAAGGCCTTCTAAGTTGGTTTGTTGTTTTCGTCCTCTGTGGTATTTAACCGTGGTCTAAGAGCCTAAAGATCCATACGATGCTATAGCAAAATAGATTCTCCAACAACCGAGAGAATAGGCAAAGTTCTTAAAAAACATTACTATGAGACCACATTTACCGCCACAAGATAGATCGGTCAAATACTTCAAAACACCAAACCAAAAATAGAGTTGAAGGCACAAGGGGTTTACGAAATTCCTTGTAAGAATTGTGACGGAAGCTACGTGGGACAGACCAATAGACTTATCAACGTTCGCCGCGAAGATGAGATTATTGTGAAAACGGTAATTTAAAAAAAAAAAGACGCTGAAACACGTCAACTTTGTTATTTTTCTAGCAATATTTTAGCCTATGTAGTTGTTCCAAAATCTGCCGCGTGGCGGAGCCACAATCAAAGTCAGGTTTTTTTGAATTACAACCCTTTATTTTTGTTGCATTTTTGGATAGCTACCGTTGTCCTGTTTGCATTGATGTGCCACATCTGGAGGGTTAGATAGGAAATTCTTTGAGAAAAGCAGGTTTTTGCCGCCGAATGATATTTTGGTATTTTGTAGTATATAATACCACTAGTGGTAAAATTTTACCGATAAAATTTTTGATTTTTATACGAATGTTTTTTCTTGGAAATTTCGCAAGTGGCATTAATTTTTAAAATGCTACGAGCAAAATTTCCAAAGAAAAATCTTGAGTAAATAAAAATCAAAAATTTTTTCAGGGAAAATTTTATCACGTGTGGTATTCGGCAAGACTATTTCACGAATATTTTTAACTGCTGATTTAATTTCTGAGTTTTTTGACCAAAACGCAAATTTTTTAACTAATACCGCTGGAGTGATCATCTAGTTTTGAGGCCTGTTTACATAGACGCAGTTTTAAGATGTCCCTATAAAAAGAAGTATAAAGGGGTCAAATCGGGCGATCGCGGTGGCCACTCGATTTGACCCCTTCGACCTATCCAGCGATTGGCGAAGACCTGATTTAAATAATCCCTTACTAGCAATGCATAGTGTGGTGGTGCCCCGACAGCGAATAAGTTCGTCAAAATACCAAAATCTTAATAGGCGGCAAAAATCTGCTTTTCTCAAAAATTTTCTTATGTAGCATATCAATGTACTCAGGACAAGGGTAGCTATCCAAAAATGCAACAAAAATGTAGGGTTGTAATTAAAAAAAACTTACTTTGATTGGGGCTCTGCCACCCGGCAGATTTGATTGGGGCTCTGCCACCCGGCAGATTTTGAAACAACTACATAGGCAAAATATTGCTAGAAAAATAACAAAGTTGACGTGTTTCAGCGATTTTAAAAACAAATACCGTTTTCAAAATAATCTCATGTTCCGGGACTTTACGGACACTCTGTATATTAATAAAACATAGTAATTATTATTATTATAAAATTAGTTTTATTGCATCGTCGTAGGTATTGCGAAGTTAGTTTAAAACCGATCCAGAATTATCCAAACCTCTA